GGGCCGGGAGGGGGGCAGTAGAGTTTCCCTGGTGTTGGCCAGAGTGGCCACCAGGGAAACCTGGGGAGGGCTAGCCTCCCACTAGTTCGAATTAAGGGGCTACACACCCCTTAATTTGAACTAGCTAGTTCGAACTAGGCTTAGTCCTCGTAGAATGAGGTTTACCTAGTTTGAACTAAGCGCTCCGCTAGTTCGAATTAAGTTCGAACTAGCGGAGCGCTAGTGTAGCGCCTATCAAAGTTAGTTCGAACTAACGCCTGTTAGTTCGAATTAACTTTGTAGTGTAGACATACCCTAAGGTGCCACAGGACTCCTCGCCGCTGAGGCTAATGAATTACCCCTCACTCTCTGCCTTCTATTCTGATCAGAATATTTCTGTGTTGCTTTTTAAATTGGCTATTATGGAAGTATTTTTGTTTCCAATTTGAAGAGAAATGAGCACTGATATCTCAGTGGGGGTAGTGTAATGTGCCTTAGAATGATAAGCTATGAGAGCTCCATCCAGGTCTTCCAATCTACCCCAAAGTGGTAATTGATTAAAATGTGTACCTTCAAAGAACAACATTTACAGGTGGGTAATTACTTCATGCTCCTCTGTGTTTAGTCAGAATATTTGTGCATAAAGAACTCTCCTATAATAACTTTAGCATGAACTTTTGATGGTTTCGTTAACCTTAGGAGAGTATGATAGGTTTGTCGCCGAACCTCCAAATTGAATTTTCCTTATAACTGTTGCTGTTGTATTTGTTTGTTTGCTTCGTCTATGACATTTCTCAGAAACATACAAATGGAGAGCAGCTTTTCCTGCTTCTGAAAACAGTACTTGACATAATTTATCAGGGTATGGCCACCATAACATAAATTTCTCTAATCCTCTGTCAGTTTTGAGTATAGTATTATTCCATTAATTGTTGTAATTCAGCCTATCAGAATATAACAAAGTCAACTTATTTGTTTTTAAATGCAAGTTTATACACTTGGTACTATACTTTGAACACATTTAGATGAGTGACTGTCATTTAGCCCTCACTTGTTCTCAATTGTTTCTTTTCTTTTGCCTTCCTAGAATTAATTTTATCTTCCCAGCTACTTAAGAGTGTTAGGATCAAGAGTTTTACTGTCAGTAGAGTTGGTTAAGCCTTACAACTATGTCCTGGAATGGAAATAAGAATAATCCATCTTAAGATTCTTCATAGCATTTAGCTTCATAAGATGACTTCCAAACATATGTTGTATGTGTTAGCACTAGACAAATACTGCTATTTATTATTTTGTAACTAGTGCCTAGGTAATAGAAATAATATATTTATTATATATATTATCATGGACCAGTGTGCTGTGGTGCATTTTAATATGCAACTTTTTTTTCAGTTACAGGCGAATTTGCTATCAAAATTTCTTCTTGTAGCAAAATCTTGCTATGAACAAAGAAATTTTGCTACTGCCATGCATATCTTTAGAGGGCTCGAAAATCTTATAGTACGACAGCTACCAGTAAGTGAGGACATTCTGACTTTTTTCCCCCTGTAGCTATTTTGTTTTTAGCAAAAGTAAATCTGTTCCATTACCCAAGATTATTCTGAAAATATATCAAAGTACTATATTTTATTACTTTTTTTAAGGCCTGGAAAATTTTGCCATCAAAAGTGTCTGAAATAATGGAAGAACTCAAGGCTGTTGAGGTACAGTATGAGCCTCTCCTGTGAAATATTTGTCACGCTTCATTGGTGCTCTTCGCAAGATTGAAGCCACATACAGTTGAAACTGCATAAAAATTGTTCCTTATTTAATGACTTCAGAACAAATTTGATTACCCTGAAGTCGTTACATTGACTGTTTGGGTTTTTCACCTGCTAAAATGAAAATGCCAACCTGGGCTCTAAAAATCAAGTTGCATTTTTTTCTGTTTTGTAATATTGTGCAACTAGCACTTAATTAATAGTTCTCTCGATGATAGCTGGGACAGAACAGTTAACTCTCCCATAGATGTGTTGACGCTACAGAGGTAACAGAAGTTAATTATGAACAGTAATAGATGTTTCAAATTTTATAATGAATTTTTGTCCTAATATGGCCGGTTGGAAAACTGTTGGCGGGGTTTGGTTGAGGAAATACTTCAGTTTCCTTTAATTTCCTTTTTAATTGGGGGAGGGAGGGGGAAAAAAAGGAAAATTAGGCCATGTACACAACTTAACGGCAAATTTGCCAAAACTTTTCTTTTTTCGCCAGATCCACTAGCCATTTATTTTAGTTGATAAATCAGCAGCTATGACCAAATGCACATAAGGGATCAAATGTTTTGTGTGGGAAGGTTGTTGTTTTAATCGTGACTTTACTGACCAGAAATCTTTGTATTGTTAAAGAACCCAAAGATATCAGGCAAACCCAAAAGAAAACTAAATTTAGCTTTCCAGTGTGGAAACTCTAGCGAAGGGGGAGAGATGTGCAGTTTAGAGTCCTGCCAAATAGCCCCTAGGTCTACTTAGCCAAATACAGAAGCCAGTTTACTTACCTAACAAGGAGTCAACAATATTTCAATTGTCAGCAACATTCCAGATTTTACCCATTTTTATCAGTAGTGCTAATAAAATCATATTGGACATCTTCTATTGCTCTGTTAATTAGGCAGCTGTTGCAAGATCTAACCCATTGCCTCTTTATGTTAAATGTTAACATTTCCATTCTATTGTGTAAAACTCTACTTTGAATGACTAAAAACTATGATGGAGATTTTCAGAGCCAGCTAGGAGGTCGGTGCACAGTTCCTGTAGATTTCAAAGAGAGTTATATGGCTGCATCTCCTAGTAATTTTTGAAAATCTCAACATCTCTCAGTAACTATTATAGCATTTCCGCAGAATATGTAGCTGGAATTGGCTTACCTTAAGCCAAACTTGGCAGTGTCCCCACAGCAGAAGTCCAATAGGAGAAAACGCTCCCTTTCCCATTAGCTTCCCTCGCTCCTCACAAAACCAGGAGTACAAGACACTGGTAACTAGACTTGCTAAATCAAACCCCAGAAGATCGATCACGGTAATAACAATCTTCTGTTTTAGTGTAGACAAGGCCTAATTTTTTTGTGTATCTGTGAAACTTAGTTTGCTCCAAGGTGCATTCTGTGATTCCAACTATAACATTTTGGTTGTAAACTATAAGTGTTCATTAAAAACTCCATAGGGGCTATCTTCTAATTAATGTAACTTTGTTCCCTTCTCTACCTTAATCGATCTGTCACAAGTCTGATCGAATGCATTATCACTTTCATCTCATTTAATTTAATTTATATACTATACATGAAAATTACTGTAAAACAAAAATATTTGTTAAAGACATACATTAAAGGACTACTTTATGAAGCCTACTCTGACATTTATCATGGATTTTCCTTGTGTAAATTATACCAGGTGTTTTTAAAAAGTGACAGTTTGTGTTTGATGGAAGGACAGAGATTCAAAACACTCCCTACAATTCCATCAGCCCATGTTCTGGCCATGCATGTCCAGCAGCTTGAAACTGGAGGATTTACTATGACAAATGGAGCTCATAAGTGGACTAAACTTAGGTAATCGTTTTAATTATACATATATCATTTTCGATGGAATATTGTCTAGTGAGTTACAAGAAGTAACTCAACAGTGCACTTCTGGGAGTTTAAAACACTTCACTCATGTTGACAAATTATTAGAGACAAATACAGTAGAAATGATGCCTTTCAATTTTCTTTTAATGTTTTATTATCAGCACTAAAGCAGACTAATGTTTTTCTTTATTTTCTTTTAAGAAACATTGCAAAAGTTGTGAGCCAGGTTCATGCATTTCAAGAAAACCCCTATACATTTACTCCAGATCTCAAGCTCCAGTCTTACCTCAAAAAAAGAATAGCTCATTTTAATGATGCAGACATTTCTGCTTTAGCAGCTGACAACAGAGCCAACTTCCATCAGATACCAGCTGAAAGACGTGCTCGAAAAATTCAGGACACATTGCGCAGAATGAAGGCAACATTTCAATAATTGTTTACATTTTACCTGATTGTTTGATTTTAATTCCAGAATATAAAAGTATGGATGAACATGACTTCAACTCCCATAGAATTCCCAAGCAAAGACACAATGAAATTAGTTTTAAAATATTAACTCTATCGGAAATGTATATAAAACCATTGTATGCCCACATCTTGAATACCTCATCTTAAAAAAGATACACTGACATTGCAAAAGGTTCAGAAAAGGGCAACAAAAATTATTAGGGGTTTGGAATGGGTCCCATATAAAGAGAGATTGAAAAGTCCAAGTCTTTTTAGCTTCGAAAAGAGGAGACTAAGGGAGGGAATATGATAGAGGCCTATAAAATCATGACTGGTGTGGAAAAAGTGAATAAGGAAAAGTTATTTACTTATTCCCACAATATAAGAACTAGGGGTCACCAAATGAAATTAATAGGCAGCAAGTAAAAAAAAACAAAGAAAATGAAGTTTTTCTTCACTCAGCGCACAGTCAACCTGTAGAACTCCTTGACAGAGGATATTGTGAAGGCTAGAACTTTAACAGGATTCAAAAAAAAAAAAAAGAGCTAGATAGATTCATGGAGGTTAGGTACATCAATGGCTGTTAGCCAGGATGTGTAGGAATGGTGTCCCTAGCCTCTGTTTGTCTGGAAATGGATGACAGGTGAGGGATCACATGAGGATTACCTGATGTATTCCCTACCTGTGGGGCAGTGTTTCTCAACCAATGGTACGAGTACCCTTAGGGGTACTTGAGAGAAGTCTAGGGGGGGTACATCAACAGAACTGAAATCTGGAGAAAACTGAATTTTTGTTTTAAATTTTACAGCACTTTATATTTTTGTACTTTTTACACCCAAAAATTTAATTGCCTGGCCAGCTACGATTAAGTTGTTTAAACAAATGTGTTGCAATGGTAGAAAAAAAAATGTGTGTCTGACAACTGTAGGTACTGGGTGTACTTATAATTTGTTGTTGTTGTTGTAAAAGTGGTACTTCATTTAAAAAAAAAACATTGAGAAACACTGCTCTGGGGCATCTGGCATTGCTCATTGTTGGCAGACAGGATACTGTGTTACATAGACCGTTGGTCTGACCCAATATGGCTGTTCTTATGAAATGGATATATTTCTTATCACAATCATAAAATGCTATCTAATGAAAAATCCAAGATCTAAGTTAAGGGGGAAAGGATGATCTGGTCTGTAGGATGAAAGAATAGTCCGTAGATGTGGTCAGAAGAGAAGTAGTGTGTAAAGAAGCTAATGTTTGTGTTGTTTTAGCCTAAAATAATTCAGACTATAATTGACAAATCATAGAATATATTTTTATACAAGCACTGTACATTTTTATCCTATCACTGTGTATTCTTACTGATACTGATGCTTTGCTAGCCTTACATTTTTGATGGGTTTCACTTTTGTGTATTTTTAAATTATGAATGTCAAAACTATGCTCTTGATATTGAGGATGGAGAATCTTCCTATTGGACATCAGACAGAATAAGTAAAAGGGGAGCAACTACACTGTACTTTTAATGCTCTTGAGCCAGCCTATATCCATATAGCACTCGGGTCTGAATCAACATTTTACCACTGTGTTGACCGCTTCTGCCCTCGTGGTCTAATGAACAGAGTAATTTTAAGGGCTTGCTTGTTTCATCTCACTTGTTATAAGTATTAGTTGTAAAATTTGTGAGTTTACTTGAACATGATTGTCTTGTGCTGAGGTTACTTTTCTAGTATTGTAATGTTCAAAAATGTGATGATAAAATAACTTTGCACCAATTTTGCAACTGCATGCCAAAATTTGGTGATTATAATATTTTTACAGTGAGCTGCTATTATAAAACACTCTGACTGGCAATGAAATGTGGTGCTAAAGCTAGAAAGGTCAGTAAGGTACCTAAAGCTTAAGCAAAATCTCTAGGACGTTAGCCTTATCAACAAGATATAGCCAAGTATTTTTAAATTATTTTCTGAAGGAAGAGGTGTTAATATTACAAACAGCTAAAATAAAAAAGCAAAATGCCTTTATCAGATCATGGAGTCAGAACTGTTTCTAAAAGGAGAAAAAATCCATTGAAACCCCTGGTATGAATTGATTGCCTTGAAGCATTCTTGTCGTTGGAGTGTTCTGGTCATGCTACTGTAATGACATTGACTCTCTATTCTTTAGTAAGGCAATATTTTAGTAGTAGAAGAAAGTGGCTTAGTAAGAAATTGGGAAACACACACACTTGTATTTTGTAAATTGTAACATGCATTTCTAATGTAACTCACTGTTGCTGCTGAATTTGTAAATATTTAACAGAAAATGAATGTGCATGTGTTCAGTTGAGGTTTGTATCCAGTGAGAGAGATCCCAGTCTGATGGCAATATATTATCATCAACTTCCTGCTCCCCTCTCTGTCAAACACAAAGGTATGCTACAACAATTATTTCTTCACATTGTAATGTATTTTCAACACAATGCCAAACTTGTGCTCTGTTTCTGCTATTCTCTTTATCTTGAATCACAACTTAAGGAAGTAACATTTGTTTCTATTCTTTTTGTTCGTATAATACATTTACAACATGCAAAGCACTGAGTTTGAAGTACTTACATTACTACAGTATATGAAGATTACAGATGTAAGCAACTAGTTGACTATCCGATAAGCAAATGCTTATTGGATAGTCGAGTAGTGACTCGACAAGTTGCTTCCCCCTCTTGCAGATAGAGGCAGCAAGCGGTGGGAGCAGGAGCAGGTAGGGAAACAGCACAAGCGGGAGCTGCTTCAGTCCCTGTTTGCACCAGTTCCCTCTGCGGGCACTTCTCCTTTTGAAATGTACAAGAGCCCTGGAGGGCTCTTGTACATTTCAAAAGCAGAAGTGCCGCAGGGAGCATGGGGTGAGCAGTCAAGTAGTCCCCACTCAAGAAGTCCCTGCTTACCCATGTTCTCTGCGTTAGCCTCCCTCCCCCACTTGCTGCCTCTCTGAGAGGAGACAGGAGCTGGTGCTGGGAGGAGCCAGCTTAAAAGTTTGTTCCCCCAAAGCACCATCTCTGGAGTGCCTCCTGCCCCCTCTGCTGCCTCTGTAAGACGCAGTGGGAGTGGGTAGGGGACACTGCTGTGAAGCAGCCCCTGTTCACTGTGGTCCCAGCAGGGAACTCAACTCCTTCCCCTCCCGTGGACAGGGGCTGTAGCCACCAAGCATCCCCTGTTTGCGGCGGACAGGGTTGATAGCTGCAAATGGGCTACTGGAGCCAGCACAAGCAGAGACCAAGCAGTCCCAGTTCACGCTGATCTCTGCGCCTCTACATTTTAAATTTAGTAAGAGCCCAGAAGCTCTTTCTACATTTAAAATGCAGAGCCATAGCACAGGTGGCTCCCGAGCTGGCAGGAGCCAGGATTGCTCAGTCCTGGCTGGATTCAGCTCCTGGAGCTATGAGCTACCCCTGCTGTGGCTCTGCAGAGTATCCCTTTATCAACTAATTGTATAGTCGATACAATTTATATCGACTGTATGATTATCTAGATAATCACATTTTAACATCCTTAATGAAAATGGCAATGACAGATGCAAAATTGCCAGACATAAATCTTTTAAAAATGTTGTCTATATTTACTTATTTTAACATGCTAATTATCTTTAGTTGTTGGCTATTTCTCAATTAAAAGGCTGTCATCCAGTTAAAAGCTACATCTTGTCAGAGAAAGACAGCAGTCCATTAAGTGACTTACATTCCACCAGGGTGACCAGCTCAAAATGTTTTTGTCGATTCATTTCGGTACAACCAGCAATTTGTTATGGTCAATCAGATTATTGTAAAATCTTGTGTATTTAGCATTTAAAATTTTTGAGAAATGACGTATGCTCTGAACCTATGTGAACAAGTTAATATTTCACTTCACCTTTACCTATACTTAAATTAACTACTATGCCAAGAAAATATTGTACTTGTTGCATGAAATGACTGATACTGTTCAGGCATCTAACATTAATTTCATATCTATATTGCTTTAATATATTAGACTTTGTATTGCTATATATGTATATAATTACTCTTGCAATACTTTTATATGGTAGAAAGATATATTGTCAATCAAATATTAAACTTTTAGATTTTGTATTGAATATAGATCTAATTCCAAAATCATAAATAAAATATTTAATGTAAATAATAATTGCTGAAAATCATTTCTCACAAGGAGACACCTTTTTGGGGCATTAATATAAGCAACTTGCCTATAGGTTGTACAACAGAGCTTTTAAAATAAAACTGTTTCTAGCTAGGTTTTATTTATTTGTATTGCTTGTTGACACATATACCAAATTGATGTGTAAGATGGCATGAGACATGACATTTCGCTGTTATGTGGTACAACTCCTATTGGCATGCAAACTCCCTGACGGCTGTAATTGCACATGTGTAACTGAAAGCAGACTTTGAATGTTCTATCCAAGGAATAAGTTCTACGCTCCTTACTCAGGCAAAACTCTTATTGAAATCTATAAGGCTATGTCTAGACTGCAGGTTTCTTTTGGAAGAAACTTTTCCGGAAGAGATCTTCCGGAAAAACTTCTTCTGAAAGAGCGTCCACACTGCCAAAGTGCATCGAAAAAGCAGACTGCTTTTTCAAAAGATAGCATCCATTCAGTGTGGACGCTATCTCACATTTAAGCTGTGATTACTATGGACAGAGTGGCCACCAGTGCTTTTTCCTCTTCTTTCGAAAGAACTTCTTCCCCGTCCACACACACCTTTTTCCGAAAGGCTTCTTCCTCATAGAAAGAGGTTTGCCAATGTCGGAAAACCCCCTCTGATCTTTCAACTTTTTTTTTTTTTTGAAAGAATGTGATTGCAGTGTGGACTTAAGTGAAGTTTTGTCCAAAAAATGGCCATTTTTCTGAAAAAGATCTGTAATGTAGACATTGAGAAATTTGCCTAAGGACTGTAGGACTGGTCCTACATTCCCTTGCTAATTCTTAAAGAGTTACATGTGCTCATCCCCACCAAGTGAGATCAAATAAAGCCAAAGTGTGAAACAGCAGATTGTCAACTCTCATTAAAATTCTCTAATATACTTCGTATGGTAAGAGAATTCAATAACTATACCCCTAAAATCCACAACATTAAATGAATTACATAATGGCTCTATTCCCAAAATATATAGGACTAAATCCTCCAGTGTTACAAAATCACTTTGTGCTATGCTGCTGGCTGAATCTGGCCCTATA